GGTGGAGGGGGTCTTAGGAGGGGGCAGTTAGGGGACAAGGAACAGGGAGGCTTAGGTAGGGGGTGGGGTTCTGGAGGACAGTTAGGAGCAGGGGTCCCAGGAGGGGGCAGTCAGGGGACAAGGAGCGGAGGAGGGGGTTGAGAGTTCTGGGGGGGGCTGTCAGGGGGCAGGGGTGGGGAGAGGGATCGGAGCAGTCAGGGGACATGGAGCAGAAGGGTTTAGATGGGTCGGGAGTTCTGGGGGGGGCTGTCAGGGGGTGGGGAGTGGTTGGATGGGGTGTGGGAGTCCCAGGGGTCTGTCTGGGTGTGCGGGTGTGGATAAGGGTTGGGGCAGTCAGGGGACAGGTAGGGGGTAGGGTCCTAGGGGGCCAGTTAGGATGGGGGGAGGGTCTCAGGAGGGGGCAGTCAGGGGACAAGAGGCAGGGAGGCTTAGGTAGGGGGTGGAGTCCTGGGGGGCACTTAGGGGCAGGGGTCCCAGGAGGGGGCAGTCAGGGGACAAGGAGCAGGGGGAGGGTTGGGGGTTCTGAGGGGGGCGGGAAGTGAGAGGGAGTGGGAGGGGCAGGGGCGGGGCTAGGGGAGGACAGGGGCGGGGCTAGGGCGGGGCTCCTCCCGTCCTCTTTTTTGCTTGCTGAAATATGGTAACCCTAGTGTTGTTTTCTATTTTTATTAAAATAATTCCTTAATGTCCTGCGCTATGAAAGCAAAAAGGTGAAAAACTGAAATCCACTCTGAAGATTCTTAAATTAATTTAATTAATTTAATACCGATATAAAAATAATTCTGATGTAAGGTTCTTGAAAGGTATATACCAACTATTTGAAATGAGACACCTTTATTAAATGGAAGAGACCACCCAGCAAAACTGTTTGGGTCAGAATTTCATCATTTCAGCTGCTTAACCCATTGGCTTCTTGATCAGATATTTCTGTTGCAAGGCTTATATTCACTAATAGAACATGCAACAGATACAAACAGGCTGCCAAACCCCAGAAAATATTGTCCACACAATCTGCCACAGTCATTATGCCATTCTGTCAGATAGAATATTTTTAACACTTTTAGTTTATTATGGCAAGCTGATGACTAAGCCTCCACACAATTTTTTTAAAACTGTATTTACTTTCATGTGAAAATACAATAAAATATATTTTTACAAACCACAATACCTGATTTATTACTGATTTTTTTCTTACTTTAAAACTGGTTTCCTTTGGAAATACTGGTTCCTAAAAGTGCTCAGAATCCACTTTTATTTGTTTAAACAAAGTTAAAAATCACTGCAACCAATGCGCTTTTAAATCAACATTTTTAATACTTACTAAGCAACTCTTTGACTTGATATTTTTGAGCAGTTGTTTGCACATCTTCTTGGAGCTGCAGATTTCTTTCAATGATGCCCCACTTATGCAAGAGCATTAGGACATCTTTGTTTGAAAGGACACTCTCATTTACAGTAAATCTGCCCATTTGTCTGAAGGCCACAACAACAGTAGCTCGGTATCCTAGCACAGAACTGAACGTACTGAAAAACTGAGTGAGCGTGGCAAAATCCAAGTTGGTCCTATTTCAAAAAGAAAAAGGAAATTTAAAAAAAATTCATAAAATATATTTTTCTACATGTTAACCAAAAGAAAAAAGCTAAATACACGGCTATTTAAAGTCCTCTGATTTTTTAAATTTAGTTTCTTAGGATGCAAGAGACAGTTAATCTCACTCAGACTGAATTTCTGCTGCTTCTCTCCATTAGTGCCTGATGGGACAGAGACAAAAAACCACATACACCACAACTCTGCTCTACAGATTACCTGCAGCCTGGAAAAGGTAACAGTAAAAGCCAGACAGCACACAGTAGTGTGGGAAATGCTCTGGTGCTTCATCTAAAAGTATTTATTTTACATGAGTTTTCAGACTTCAAGAGGGAAGAACAATAAATTTATTTTTCATGTTGTGACAAACACCCATCTGGATGAATGGCTAAGGTGGAATGAGACCACTGCTTATTGTACCAAACATCACCAGTTTCCTTGTCATCTCTCCTTGCTCACCATGACCTGGTTTGTCTGTTCTCTCAGCATAAATGTCAAAAGACAACAGGGGAAGACTGTAAACCCTTTGAGAAAGGGACTGTCTTTTTATCACACCTGTATTCTACACCTCGCACAATTACTATTATTGGCTAAGATTTTTCAAAGCCAACTAAGTGAGTCAGCCACACTACTCATTGAAGCTCCACTGAGTACCGAGTCAACTCCACTAGTGGCAGCTTTAAAAAGCTTAACCATGACTATATTTATTATTTGTATGGTAGCAACTAGAGGCTGAGATCAGTGTTAGATGCTGTACAAACAGAGACAGTCCCTGCCCCTAAGGGCTTATGATCTAAACAGAGAAGACAAATGATAAATAATAGTAATAAATCCTCTTCCTCTGTCAGGCGGGCAGTCTAGCTGCCAGCACACAGACAGGCTTCCACAGGGGAAGAACTGCCAGAGCTGGAGAAAAATTTTGGGTAACATTTTCAAAAGTGACTCAGGCACCTGGAACACTTTGTTATTTTTGAAAATTTTGCATTGTTAGCCTATACCTCCCTATACCACTTTGCCTGAGCCGGATTCCCCCACACAGGCCACTTGCTAACCAAGGCTGCATCAGATAATGAATGCAAACCCAGTCAGCGGGGTCTTCAGAAGGTATGGACCGACTCCCAGATCCTCAGGGGTATTTAGGCACCTAGCTCTCATTGATTTCAGTGGGAGTTAGGTGTCTAAATATCTTTGAGGATCTGGCCCAAGCATCAAGTAGGGACCTAGCAGAACTCATCAATGGAGACTGTGCCACTCGCTGTCCAGACTGTGGCCACTGCTCAGGCAGAGTGAGCTTGAAGCTTTTCAGGGAGGAGGCCTGCCAGAGAGCTGAAGTGCTGGATTCAGGCTCTGATCTAGCAGGAAAAGGACAAATTACATAATGCTGCCTTTTTAAAAACTACCTATCCAGTACTTAGAACATGAGTCACCTTACAGTCACCACTTCATTATTAATATTTTTAAAAGCAAAATCTTTCTGCACAAGTTTCTCCACCCAGGTTCATTATCACCATTTAAAATGGGGAAAGGGCTAATTTATCAGAGATTAAGTGAATTCATGTTGGCCTAATATATTTCAAACTGAACAACAACGTGATTACATAAGCCTGGAAACCTGATTGGAAAAGACTTACCGAATGTGTTTAACAAGCATGATCAAAACATACAGAAACTCATTTATAAGCTGAAGAGGAAGGAACTTCTGGTTCTCCTGCGGCTCTTTTTTGCAAAGAGTTTGAAGTGGCATCGCCCTTCCTTTGTTTCCTAAATTTGTTATCCACAGAGTGTGGACTAAGGAGATTACATTGGTTAGCACCTTGTTTTCCAGAAACCTGAAAGACAAACAAAAATGTCTTTGTGGAATGCAGAAACTGACCTGGTCACCATCCAATCCATCTCCTAGAAGGAGCCACATGTTAGCATTTGGGGCCCTGAACATGCAGGCAGGCCTGAAGTCAATGGGGCTCCAAATGGGCTCAGGATTCTACCCAGGTAGAACTCGTTGCAGGATTGAGGCCTTGGTTGCCAGGCTTCCCCCATACATTGAGAATTCCCAACATTTCCTGTTTAGATGCCATAGAATAAAAAACACCTCTATGGGTGGCAGTGTAGCCTAGTGAATACAGCATTGTTCTGGAATTCTGGAGACCTAGGTTCTATTCCCCACTCTGCCACTGCTGAGTGACCTCAGACAAGTCACTTTGCCACTCTGTGCCTCAGTTTTCCCATCTGTACAATTTGTAACACTTTATAAGAGCTACATATTATTAATTATTATTATTATGAGGAATTGACAGAGCTTTCTGGCAAAGGTCCATAAATAGAACTAGTGATTTTTGACTCAACTATATCTTTCATTAAATCTGAATAATTTTCCAAAGCAATCCATTAAACTGCAAAGTATGCAACGGCCACGATTTGTTTTAGATCAATTACTGTTTAAAACAAGAGTTTCCCTTATGGTTTGTATTAAGGATTTTTCATTTGCAGATGACACCAAGCTGGGAGGGGTTGCAAGCACTTTGGAGGACAGGATTAGAATTCAAAATGACCTTGAAAAATTGGAGAATTGGTCTGAATTCAACAAGATGAAATTCAATAAAGACAAGAGCAAAGTACTTCACTTAGGAATGAAAAAAATCAAATGCACAACTACAAAATGGGGAGTAACTGTCTAGGCAGTAGTACTGCTGAAAAGGATCTGGGGGTTACAGTGGACCACAAACTAGATATGAGTCGTCAATGTGATGCTGTTGCAAAAAGGCTAATATGATGCTGGGGTGTATTAACAGGAATGTTGTATGTAAGACACAGGAGGTAATTTTCCCATACTACGTGGCACTGGTGAGGTCTTAGCTGGAATACTGTGTCCAGTTCTGGGTGCCACAATTTAGGAGAGAGTTCAGAGGAAAGCAACAAAAATGATAAAAGGTTTAGAAAACCTGACCTATCAGGAAACAGCTGGGTATGTTTAGTCTTGAGAAAAGAAGAATGAGGTGGGACCTGATAATAGTCTTCCAATATGTTAAAGGCTGTTATAAAAAGGACTGTGATCAATGGCTCTCCATGTCCACTGAAGGCAGGATAAGAAGCAATGGGCTTAATCTGCAGCAAGGAGTTTTAGGCAGGGCCGGCTCTAGGATTTTTGCCGCCCAAAGCAAAAACAATTTTGGCCGCCCCCCCCTTCTTTAATTACCCCACCCCCGGCCCCGCCTCAACTCCG